AGCAGAACTTTCTTAGGAATATATCATAACATCCATGAAACCCTACATTTGAAGATGGCATGGGAATATATAATTTTCTCCAGATGTTTCAGCTGTAAAATAGGGATAATAATGGTACTCTCACATGATTATCCTGATGACTAAATGAAGAGAACTTTGAACTAGAGATACAAAGTTAAGATTCATCAGCAAATAAAAGGTATTTAAACCATGGGAATTGATGAGATAATTAAAGAGAAAAAGTTGAGAGAGAAAAGAAGATCTCAGCCCTCCTTCCAAATGTTTCCCACTCATTAGTTCATTCAACAATTATTTTTGAGTGTCTAAGATCTGCATGTCACTGAGGATGCATGGGTACACCAAAGAGACGTGAAGAAAGCCTATAGTCTCCTCAGAGAGACAGGCAGCACACAAATATATATTTAACTACAAACTGTAATAATTGTTTTAAAGGAAAAGTTTCAGCACTCTGAGAGAATTTAATGAGGACCTAATTCAGATTAAATAAAATCATGTATATAAAGCACTTGGCATACTGTTTGAAACCTAGTAAGCACTTTGTTCAGGGAAGGCCTCCCTAAGAAAGTGGCAATTATGCTGACGCCAAAAATTTAGTAGAAGTTAGCTAGGAAAGAGTAGGGGGAAAGAGCATTACAAGCAGGGCATCAACACACAAGAAGGCCCTTGGGCAGGAAAGAGCCTGGGGCACTCCAAGAGCGGAAAGGAGGCCTGTGCAGCTAGAGCATATGACAGGTAGTAAATGACAATACCATCTACCTGACACCCCCTCAAGTAGAAATCTCCCTCTCCCCCATGTGATTAAAATGACTTCAAGAACCACACAATATTACATGGACATATTGTATGATGGTTAAAAAAAAAAAAAAGAACCACACAGTAACTCTGTGCATAATATTAAAATACTAATGATGCAGATAAATTGTATCTACCTAAAAATGAGCCTGCGATTCCTGTTTTCAACCTCTTTCACAGTCACCCTTTTTCCACTAGTGAAAGGGAAGAGGGACCCTTCACCCATCCGGAGACTCATTTTGGTGCCTTGCCCCATGGATAACAATTCAAGAATAAATCCTTTCCAAGAGTGAGACTGATGACAACAAATCCAAGAAAAATGCAGCAAGAAATATTAAAGCGGCCAGCATCACATTGTCATTCAGTTTTCTTATAAATGCAAGGTTTGAAATTTAATTTAAAATTTAGATGTGAAATGGTTATCAGAGGGAAACACACAAAGTGCAATAAGAATACAAATACCTCATTATTTTAAATGGGCAAAATATTTGAATATACATTTCAATGAAGAAGATACACAGATGAAAAATAAGCCCACAGATGTCCAACATTATTCATCATTAGGAAAATGCCAATTAAAACCACAATAAAATACTTACACACATCTAGTTACAATAGCTAAAACATAGAAGACTGAACATACCAAAGGTTGGCAAGGATGTGGAGGAACTGAAATCCTTATACACTGCTGGTAAAATGATACAACTAGTTTGGAAAAGTTTGGCAGTTTCTTAAAAAGTTAAACATACATCTACCACACGATCCAACCATTCCACTCTTAGATATTTACCCAAAAGACAAGAAGGCATATATCCATACAAAGACTTGTACTCACAGCAGCTATATTTGTAATTCACAAAAACTGGAAATAAACCAAATGCTCATCCATGGGTGAGCAGAAAAACTGTGGTACATCCATACCATGGAATACTACTCAGCAATTTTAAAAAATAAATTCTTGACATAAGCAAAACACGGATGAATCTCAAAATAGTTATAGTGAATTTAAAAAATCCAGACCACAAAAAGTACATACTATATAATTCCATTTATACGAAACTCTAGAAAATGCAAATTAATCTACGGTGACAGAAAGTACTACAGGATAGAAGGGAGGGTTTACAAAAGGGCATGAGCAAATTTGTGGATAATAGATATGCTCATTATCTTAATTATGGTGATGTTTGCATGAGTGTAAACTTGTATCAAAACATCCAATTGTATTCTTTAAATATGTTCAGTTTATGTCAACTATCTCTTTTTTATGTTTTTTGTTTTTTGTTTTTTTTGAGACAGAGTCTCATTCTGTCACCCAGGCTGGAGCGCAGTGGTGCAATCCTGGCTCACTGCAACCTCCGCCTCCCGGGTTCAAGCAATTCTCCTGCCTCGGCCTCCTGAGTAGCTGGGATTACAGGTGCACGCCACCATGCCCAGCTAATTTTTGTATTTTTAGTAAAGATGGGGTTTCACCATGTTTGTCAGGCTGGTCTTGAACTCCTGACCTTGTGATCCGCCTGCCTCAGCCTCCTAAAGTGTTGGGATTACAGGCATGAGCCACTGCCCCCGGACTTTTTTTTTTGAGATGTAGCTTCACTCTTGTTGCCCAGGCTAGAGTACAGTGGCGCAATCTCGGCTCACTGCAACCTTCACCTGACAGATTCAAGCAATTCTCCTGCCTCAGCCTCCCAAGTAGCTGGGATTACAGGCATGCGCCACCAAGCCTAATTTTTTTTTTTTTTTTTTTGAGACGGAGTCTCTATCTGTCGCCCAGGCTGGAGTGCAGTGGTGCGATCTCGGCTCACTGCAAGCTCTACCTCCCAGGTTCACGCCATTCTCCTACCTCAGCCTCCTGTGTAGCTGGGATTACAGGCACCCGTCACGACGCCTGGCTAATTTTTTGTATTTTTAGTAGAGACAGGGTTTCACCATGTTAGCCAGGATGGTCTCGATCTTCTGGCCTCGTGATCCGCCTGCCTCAGCCTCCCAAAGTGCTGGGATTACAGGAGTGAGCCACTGCACCCGGCCTTAATTTTTGTATTTTCAGTAGAGACGGGGTTTCACCATGTTGGCCAGGCTAGTCTGAAACTCCTGACCTCAGGTGATCCACCCACCTCAGCCTCCCAAAGTGCTGGGATTGTAGGTATGAGTCACTGTGCCCATCCCATGTCAACTATACCTCAATAAAGCTGTCTACAAAATTAAAGAATGGTGAGAAGACTATTAAGTTTCCTATCACTGGCTTATTTGAAGCATAGTTCTATCAAGATTGAACATTTGTTCCTTGTCTAAACCATACAAGCTTCAAACTCCTCCACTTCCATAGCTTATCAATCCTATTTCTAGACTGTAACCTGCCCTTCCTCTTCCAAATCTGACCAGACATTTTATATGTGCTGTCAACACGAATATCCCAGAGTAAGCCTTGCAAGAGTGTGGATGACTTAGCTAAATGCACTGCCACTACTTGAAAAATTTAGAGTTAAAATTTAATGAAGTTTAAACTCAGTGTAACTGACCTATAATTGCCCTAAGTCTAAGGTCTTTTAAGAAACTGAGGGGTGCCAAGTACAGTGGCTCATGCTGGTAACCCCAGTACTTTGGGAGGTGAGTGGATCACTTGAGGTCAGGAGTTCGAGACCAGCCTGGCCAACATGGTGAAAACCTATCTCTACCAAAAATATAAAAATTAGCCAGATGTGGTGGCACGCGCCTGTAATCCCACCTACTCAGGAGGATGAGGCAGGGAGAATCGCTTGAACCCTGGAGACAGAGGTTGCAGTGAGCCAAGATCGTGCCACTGCACTTCCAGCCTGGGCAACAGAGCGAGACTCCGTCTCAAAAAAAAACAAAAGGAAGCTGTTAGGTGAGCTATTGGTACATTAATCATATAGACAATCTTAGTAGGGTTGAAGTCTATAGGTTTTGATTGACTTGACTATACTGTAAGTTGTAAATAGATGCAATTTTAAGTTACCTGAATAAACTTTTCTATTAATTAACAGTAATCATCTCAATTTTAGAGGTTTACGTTATACTTGTGCCTCCATCTGCATGCACAACATGGGAAGACAACAGACACCAAAGATACTTTGGATTCTTGCTGCTAAATAAGTATTCAAGCACTATGTGTGCATTGTTACAATTAATAAGGCAATCTGACCCCATCCCTGCCACCAGGAAACTACAATACTATTAATATATTCAAAAGGAAGACAACTGAGATAAAGGGAATGTGGTGGGGGGTGGTTAGGAGATATCAGAATGCAACCTCCTAGAATTACAGAATCTCAACATCCATCATTTATGCCTGGTCTTCGGTTCAGTAGCTCTGGGATTCCAAGGGCCCCTCCTGACTGCATTGCCTTCTCTCTCCAATACCCTTTGTCTCAGAATGTTACACCTTCCCCCAGTTAATAGTATAGGCTTAAAATATATCTAGGTGTTCTTACCTACTGACAAACTGCTGGAATTGTTCATGGGAAAGGAATCAACGCAAAATATCTAATGCATTCAGGTCGTTGGAGTTTTCTTTTGAATTTATTGCTTTTTTGAGATGGGGCATCCGTATGTTGCCCAGGCTGAAGGGCAATAGCGATATCTCTGCGAGACTGTCTCAAAAAAAAAAAAAAAACAAAACAAAACAAAACAAAACAAAACAAACCATTAGAGTCTTCACCTTAGGATGGGCTATGGGATACTGGTAAGCACTTAAAGGGGTAGGATGGCCCGGATTTGCAGTATCTGAGTAATGGGAATACTCCAACCCAGTCCGATTTCAAGGTCCCAGTGAGGTAACTGAATTCGAAGTTCCGAAGGTATGCGCCTAGTATTCCCACCATACGAATACAAGAGAGGTAAATAACCTCAAAAGCATTGATAACAGTAAAATAGTTACAATACCTATTACCTTTTTAGTATCCATTACCTTCGTTTGTAATATAATTTAACTGTCAGTTTACATAACAAGAGTCTTCTAAGGCGCAAGCTCCTGGGGAGGGTATGGGGCTATTGGCAGGGAAAACAGCTTTTCAATCGTATAAATGCTCTTTGTGCCCAGACTGCCTTCTATAAACCAGCACTATCCACCCTGTCCCAGAGACTTGTCCACGACCTTCAATAAAACACTATTCATACCACTTCTAGCGTGCGCTCCCACCCGCCCCAGGGAATTCAGTCCCGCGGGAGGGATAACTACTTGGGGACACGGAGCACTGCGTTCGCCCTGGGTCACGCGGGAAGGATGACTGCAAAGCCTCCAGTTGGCGCGCGGGTTCCGGGGCTGAGGGGCCCAAGGCGGTAATCGGGATCCGCTCCGGCCGCGCTTCCCTTGCCTTTAACAAGCCCCAGAAGTGGTTCCGCGCTTGGCCGCAGCGGGAAGTCTTCGGAAAGAAAAGACCGGAACTAAAAGATAGACACAGCGATGCCCTCCCCGGACTCCGCCAGCCTCACACCCCTGCCAGCCCGCCGCCTGTAGTGCGCACCGCCTCCTCGCCAAGCTCCGCCCTGCGTCCACCCCAGGGGTTAACTCGGACGAGCGGTCGTGTGGCAGAGCTAGTGTGCGCCGTCCGGGGCTAGAGCAAGCGCGCCCGCGCGGCCGGGAGCCATGCTGAGGAGCTGCGCCGCGCGCCTCCGCACGCTCGGGGCCCTGCGCGGGCCGCCGGGAGGCCGGCGCCTGCCGGGTAGGGAGCCGTTACCCGCGCTGGTGAGTCTGGGCACCCTCGGGCATGGGGCGGGAGCAGGACTCACAGTCAGAAACACGCCTGCGGCAACAGAGCCTTTGATTGTTTCTCCGTACCCCAACCAGCCAATCTCAGAATAAAAGCTCACTTGGGCACCACACGGCAGCGTAAGCAACAGGGACCTAGGAATACTTAGTCCTGAGATTCAAACCGTTAGAAAACGGATGGAAAGATGACCCCGTTTTTTTTTTTTTTTTTTTTTTTTTTTTAAAGAGACAGGGTTGGCAGGGCGCAGTGACTCACGCCTGTAATCCCAACACTTTGGGAGGCCGAGGCGGGCGGATCACTTGAGGTCGGAAGTTCGAGAGCAGCTTGACCAACATGGCGAAATCCCCTCTCTACTAAAATTACAGAATTAGCTGGGCGTGGTGGCGCATGCCTGTAATCCCAGCTACTTGGGAGGCTGAGGCAGGAGAATCCCTTGAACCCGGGAGGCGGAGGTTGTGGCGAGCCGAGATCGCGCCATTAGTGAGACTCCGTCTCAATAAAAAAGAGGGTCTATCTAGCTCTGTCGCCCAGGCTAGAGTGCAGTGGCGATTACTGTAACCTTGAAGTCCTGGGCTCAAGCGGTCCTCCCACCTGAACCCCACAAAGCACTGGGATTACAGGCGAGTCACTGCTCTCTGCCCGTTTTTTTTTTTTTTCCCTAATTTGTCTTTAATTGACAGATAAAATTGTATGTTCAACATGAACAATATGATGTTTTGAACTCTATATACTCGACTCAGTTTTGAAGCAGAGTGCAGTATGCTGGGATCTGTTCAATTCAGCAGGGAAAGGACCACTACTGCTACGACTGATATTAATAAAGGTTCAGCAGGGGCACACACAAAATACGCGACAGAGCTGGCCTCTGAACCTAGGCAGTCTGGCTTATAACCATTACAGACCTCAGAAGAAGAACACCATCTCTTCCAATGGTTTAATCCTGATTGTCTCTGACTTGTCTTATTTCTGAGAAGCAAAGCAGCCAACACTGGAGTGAGTAGGAGGCTTCTGGATGTCAGATAATCATTAATACCCTCTCCTAAGCCAGTTTCCTCACCTTTAAAGGTTGTTATAAGATTAAATGACATAACGCAAGGAAACTTTAACGCAGTGCCTAAAATAGTATTAAATGTTACTTGTTTATATATCCCTATTTTGTGCTTTATTGATATATTCAATTAATACTGATTAAGCCCCAACACTGTGCCAGGCATTATTGGCCACTGATGATGTACAGGTAAGAAACAATCCTTTCTCTTAAGAAGCTCACAATCTAGTGTAGGAGAATAGGGTGTCAAAAGACAAAATTATAACACATTTACTTTGAAGATCTTAATTGGCTTTTATTTGCAATTGTAGAATCAAGCAACTCCTCATTTTATAAAATAGAATGTTCCGATAAGCGGAGCAGAGGAGATTGGCTTTATAGACAGAAGGGGAGATTCCATCTCTACAAAAAATTAGCTGGACATGGTGGCACATGTCTGTGGTCCCAGCTACTTAGGAGGCTAAGGTAGGAGGATCTCTTGAGCCTAGGAGGTTGAGGCTGCAGTGAGCTGTGATCACACCACTGCACTCCAGCCTGGGCAACAGAGTTGAGACTTTATCTCCAAAAAAAAGGGGAATGCCACAGGATTGGGTCATGTAATGCTTTCACATGTTCCCTCCTTGCACAGAAGTTTTCTTGAAGCTGACCCATTTCCATGACCAGATTATCCTAATCCAAGAGTCTGTTTTTTGGTGGCGAGCATTCTGATGCTCTCAAGTGCCTGACTCATGCCCACCAATCACATTCTGGCTTTGGCATTGAGATCCCCTTAACCAAGTCAGTCAATGATTTTTCCCTACCTAAGCACACAAGAAAAATAAATTAAGATAATAGAACATAAAATCCCTGTGAATTTCTGAAAGCCAGAGTTCACACCCCCTGCAGTAATTGCCATTTATTGCCCATTTCTGTCTGACCCAGTCAGACACCTGAGACCTCCCTACGGGATCAAGTTATGTTTCTGTCATGACTTCCACTCTTGCCACTGACTTTGTCAAGCCACTGCAAACCCCAAAAGGTCATATGCTGTCACACAGCACAAACTAACCCTTGGTACCCACCCCAAGTTCATGTGTCCTCTCATAGCACAAACTAATCCTGAAATTGGAAACCAAAATGATTAAGGGGATCTATGCAAAAAGAGCAAAGTCTAGGCCAGGCACAGTGGCTCACACCTGTATTCCCAGCACTTTGGGAGCCCGAGGCAGGCAGATCATGAGCTCAGGAGTTCAAGATCAGCCTGGCCAACATGGTGAAACCCTGTTTCTACTGAAGATACAAAAAATTAGCCGGCATGGTGGTGTGCGCCTGTAATCCCAACTACTCGGGAGGCTGAGGCAGGAGAATCTCTTGAACCCGGGAGGTTGAGGTTGCAGTGAGCCAATATTGCACCATTGCACTCCAGCCTGGGCAACAGAGTGAGACTCCATCTCAAAAAAAAAAAGCAAAGTCTGACCTTGGATGTACAAGCCTCAGACTCTGAAGAAGACAGGGGAGCCTCAAAAGACACGGGCATTGTCTCTGTTGCACGCCTCAAGGGATTTTAAGAGTTGTCCTCTAGTCCCTTTGTCCATGTTGGCCAGAACTGTCAAAAAATAAGATGACAAATTTAGTTTAAAGATCTTACATGGATTTGCAACTCTAGAATCAAACAACACTTCCTCCTATAAAATAGAATGACCGTTCTGATGCGCTGAGCAGAGGAGGTTGGCTTTAGAGACACAAAGGGGCTAAAGAAAGCAGAAACAAAAAAGCAGATTGGTGGTTTCAAAGTTAATTTCCTTGTAAAGGTTAAAGCAGAGGAGACACCCTTATCATGCTAGCTAAAACTGGCTTGTTTGGGTATTTGGCTATTGTCTGTCTCATTCTCCTTCTTAAAAGATCAGATAAGCAACTTAATTTCCACTTAAAGGTGTGGAACTTCAGCATGAGTAACTCCATTTGGTTTGGTCTGTTGGGCCTGCTGTAGAAGCTCAGACAAAACCAATGGCCTCCTATAAATTTTATTTAGCAGGAATGAAATTGCAAAATTAAAATAAGTATGTACTATGTGCTATAATGAAGTACTAAGGGAACAAAGAGGAGGAAACAGCTCTGTATTGATAAGAACTGAAAGACCAAATAGTAATTTAGATGAGTATAGTGTTTCTATTAAGCTACTGTAGCTTTCTTTTAAAGAATAATGAATACAGATTAGTCACTAATCCTGTACCATCTTGCACATTGGGGAAAAAATGTGCTAATCTTACAAAGATGAATTCATTTATTTAATTATATGTTGGTACCTTGTAATCTATGCTGAGAATAAGCATTAGTATTTACAGGCTTTATAAATCATGCTTCTTTCGGTTCAGTAACTTACTCTCAAAAAAGAAGACACATTTAAAGAGTCATAACTTTTAACAAGCCCGACTATTGTAGGACTTTCTTCTCAGTTCAACTAAAAACCGAGTTCTTGTCACATGACTAGGAAAGATTAGGCTCATGGACACATAGAAAGGTGAAAAAACTGGAATTTACTGGGTGAAAAAGGAAAAGGAGAAAAACTTTCAGCAGAGTGAGAGGGAAGCCTGTTACCTGGCTCCTGCCCCACCACCGGAACTCACGAGGTGAAGCGCCTTCCTTCTGCAAACAGCACGAACTTCCATGGCTCCACCCTGTTCTCCTGGTGTGCAGGCCGGTTAGAGATTCTCCGGGGACACCTTTATACTTGGTTGTCTCATTCCCCCTCTAAAGAAATACATTTAACTGCCATTAGGATAAGGATAAGGATGAGGACTTATCTTAACTGCTTCCTGCTGACAGGGGGTGCCGTTTTGGAGAAAAGGCAGTCAGAGCTCCCTCAGAGGCCTATCTGAGGGTCCTTGGCAAAGGGGTCCCTTGTCCAAGGCTCTGGTTGCATGACTGTTTGGAGTTTGATGGCCTGAAGGCAAGAAGAGACAAACTGGGTTATTAGAAGACGTGTATCAAAACAAAACAGGGCCGAGGTAAGGACAGCTCAGAAATCCCAAGGCCTTTTACCAGTTTGTACAGGGAGAGGGAGGCCAAAAGCCCCACTAGTACAAAAAAAAACAAAAAAAAAGCCCTTTTGCCAGCATGTCAGGTTTCTGGGTTCCCTTTCCCTGAGCCGAATCCTACGCCAACCAGTTTAAGGTTTGGGAAATTAACTCTTCCCAGTTTGGAGGATGCATCTGAGGGGAGTGTCCTGTAGTAAGTACAGAGATACAATTACGTATCAGTGAAGAGAGGACAGAGGAGGAGAAAGGAAAAAGAGGTTCTCTTTTTTCAAAAGAATCCCAGGGGTTCAGGATGCATTCAAAAGGGGTACAAACTGAAGATGGATGGCTACTCATCTAGAAAGAGGGGAGCAAGTGTCTCTTCCTAGCAAATACCTGGGGTATGTGAGGGAGGGAAAGTGAGGTGTTCCTCTTTCTTTCCTCCGTCCTTGTATCCCCAAGTCCAGGCAACCATGACAGGGTGACACCCATGGGTGCCAAAGCAGCTTGTACCCATGAAGCAGGGAGGTGCTGGAGAATAGGAATTATCTGCTCTCATCTATGCCTCTATCCCCGCTACTGTCAGTAACCTGGGAGTTCTCTAAACCTCATTTATGCCATGGATATTAGCACAACCTTTATCCATAAAACGGGAGGCTTGGCTTAATCAGCAGGAATTAGCCATGCTCACCTGCACTGTGCAATTTAACTTCTGTTATCATCTGCCTCTGGATCCCTTAGATCCAGTTTTCTTTCCTAGGGCTTTGACCTGAAGCTTGGAATTGAGTTTAGGACAGTGGCTTATGCCTATAATCCCAGCACTTTGGGAGGCTGAGGCAGGTGAATCACCTGAGGTCAGGAGTTTAAGACTAGCCTGGTCAACATGATAAAACCCCATCTTTACTAAAATTCAAAAACTAGCCAGACGTGA